TAAAGTTAAGCAATTTACTCAGTAATTGCTCAGCTTTACGCGTAAAAAGCTTAATTAAAATTGGTAAAGTTTTTATTTACGTAAAGCTGACCAATTTCTTAGTAAAAGCAATTGCTTTATTTTTATTCACCCGATCTAGCATCCCTTAACGCCCGGCGCAATTACGCCTCTTTTGCTGCTCTCTTAGCGTCCCTCACTAAAATTTAATCTAAAATTTAATTTAAAATTTTAATCTAAAATTTTTTCTTAGAAAAAATTGTGAATCGGAATAAATATATTTTTTTATTTATAATTTTATTTAGTCTGTTGTTTTTATTTTTATGTAAATGCATATAGTTTTAAAATTCTTGTTCCAAATAATTTTAGTTTATGTAACTATATACGCTAATAATGTTACAACTGCACCGTAAAGATGTCAATTTTAACAACCTTCGCAGTATTATATTATACCTTTAAAACATACACAAATATATAGTTATTATTATTTTGAACAATAAAATGCGTAATATTTCATTATAATATGATTAAAAAAATAATAAAAATTTATTGTTAAGTAGAATTATATAAGATGTCATAATGCAAAACTTATAAATTTTGTAACAATTGACACCAATTTTCTCTATTTTATTTCTAAATAATCATTTAATTTAACGCCGAGTAAAACCAGGTAAGTCTAAGGTAACTATTTTTTGTAAAGCACGTTTTTTTTAAGTAAGCATGCCCAAATTCGAAGTTTAGTCCATGTCTGAAAGTTACCAAAAGCCTCAAACATCAAAAATGATTGCCCCAATTTCTAATAAAAAATGTGTTTATCAATTTGTTAACAAATAATCTCCTAGCAGAAACAGTAAACGAATAATTTTATTTAATAAAATTTAAATCAAAAAGAAAAATAGATTTATCTTATCTTTATCGTTTTCTTTTCTTAATTGTAATAATAATTGCTTAAAAAAATGTTTCATTAAATAAAATTCGTTCTTAAAGCTAATTATAAATAGTGTTATCATTTAAATATGTTATTTATACCATACCTTAATTTGTATAAATATGTAATACCCATGTAACGGAACACCAAAAATTATAACCGAATATCAAGAATAACATCTGTTACTAAAGTAAAATACCAAAAATAATACCAAAAAATTAACATCTGCTTTTTAACTTTTAAGCGTGATGTCTTTGCGAATTTGCTTTAAATGTTATTAAGATAAAAGTAAAAAATTACTTGGTTGGCGAACATCATTCCAGCTTTTGACACACAATAAGTGTGTTTTATTTTTTAAATACATTTAAAAGACATTAAGCTACTAGCAAAGGTTAAGCCACAAAAGGTTAAATAAATTAATTTGACCTTTATTTTACCATTTTGATCTTTAATAAAATCGTTTCAAATTAATAAATAGGATTAATAGCAGTTCTTTAAAAAGTTTATTTTATTATAGTTTTTTTTTTTGCATAAACTTTATGAAAGTCATTAACTTACAAAATTATCTTTTAAGTAAGTTTTTATACATGGTAAAATGAATAAGGCCCGCTTCGGACGGTCACTTCACTTTTTTTTTAAGAAGTTTTTGAACAGTAAACCAATTAAACAGTGATATATATATATATATATATATATATATATATATATATATATATATATATATATATATATATATATATATATATATATATATATATATATATATATATATATATATATATATATATATATATATATATATATAAAATTGCCTATATATATATTTACTTGCCTGAAATAATATTTACTTACCTGGATTAAAAAAAGTAAACTTGGTGAAAATTTTATTTATGTTAATTAATAGGATTATTGAATAAGTTTTTTTTAGTAACGTTTGAAATAAAAAAAAATCACTGCTATATATATATTTTATATATAGCAGTGTTTTTTTTATTCCAAACATTACTAAAAAAAACTTATTCTATTTTTAATCCAGGCAAGTAAATATTATTTCCAGTATGGTAATTTTAAGATAAGTTTGCTCATTTATCCGAATGAGTAAAAAATTATATTAACAATATTTACTATTAAAATTATATATAAGTAGTAAATATATACAGTATTTCTTAAAACTTCACATGAGTAAAGTTTTAAAACTTATGACAAATTATTATTAAGATAATTCTTTTACTGTTAAGGATATTTAATATATATATATATATATATATATATATATATATATATATATATATATATATATATATATATATATATATATATATATATATATATATATATATATATATATATATATATATATAGACATAACAAACTCTAAACATTTATATGTTTCAACTAATGTCAAATAAGGATGCCATGCAAAAAAATGCAGTGATAGGAACCTGGGAACAAAAATGCCCTAAAATATTGGCTATAATGTGCCCCAAAATTTGTATTCTTTGATAAATTCTAAATTTCATACAATAATCTCTTCGCGTTCAAAATTTATCATTATATAAAGTTTGAACCCCCCTCAATTTGAGAGGGTTACAGATTTTATAAGGTTATTATTTTTTAAAAACTTACCGTTTTACGAATTGTTTACCCAAAAAGACTAACTAGAACGAAACGGTTTTTAAACATCGAAACAGATGATGCGGATTATTTGATTAAATGTGTACATTATTCCGTATAAATTTTCCGTATATGGGTACATTTTCCGGTAAACTATTCCATAACTTAGCAATACGACTAGAAAAGTAATATTTAATTAAAATTATAATAAAATTTATTATTATAAACAAGTTTGATAAACCAGTGACCACAACTTATAATTTTATAACATTATACTAAGTCATTAAACATTTGTTTTAGTAAAATGTTTAGCACATCATACTGGCCACATACCAAAAATTCTCTTGGTAAAGAGGTGTAGTACCTTTCTATTGATTTTCTCAGATGACCATCTGGAGACCAATATTCTAGGATAGGATGTATATAAGTAAAGTAGGATTGAACAGTGATTCTTTTTTTTAATAAAAAGTTTTAGGAATGAGATAGAGATAGACTTCTTCTATATAGCTAAATGTACAATAAAATTTATGTGCTGATCAATTTTCCGGTGACTATCTCCGTAAGAATGTATAAATTACCATGTAATTATAATTCGTGGGTGGTTAATTAACATACTGACAAAAACTAAAGGTGTTTATTAAACAAACAAAAATTTATAAAAAACCTGTGTGAACCTTGATAATAGCGCCAACCTATGTAATCTATGTAATGGATGAATTAGTCAATTTTCCACAACCATAACTGCAATAATAACTAATTACTTTGAATGCAGCGGCCGATTTATTGAGGATATTATAAAAAGGACTATAGGGGGGTTTGTCCCTCCCCTTTCATGATTTGAAAATATATTTTTTTAAATTGAAACTTGGTGTTTGCAGCTCATTTTAAATAAAACATGCAATTTTAAAAAAAGTATTAAAATATCAACGCAGAAATATGATGTTGTAAATTATATTTTGAAGTAATTTAAAATGATTGAAATACAGTTATTTGACGAAGACGTTGTTTGACTAAAAAAGTATTTAGTCGATGTTTCTACATTTCACCTTCCCACGTTTCATTTTAGTCAATGTTTCTAAGTCGCTAACGTTTAGTTAATCTATGTAACTTTGAATATATTTGAAGCAGATATTAACAATAACAAGTTAATAATAAAATATTAATTTAACATAACTAATAAAAAACTAAAACTAAAAATAATATTAAAAAAATAAAAAAAATAAAATGTTTGAATATGGTTCAGTAACAAAGATAAAATTCATGTTGTTTATTAAGGTGGAGTAGAGTAAAGTGAAATTTGGTTTATTTGAAAATTTCTTCTGTTACACCCCTAGGTTTGTTTTATATAATAAATATAACACTGGATTTAAAATTTTTTTGAATAAAAAATACTTTTAGTCCCAATTTACTCTTTAAATTTAACGAATCATTAATATTATCAGAAAAAAATTTCTTAGTTTTAAAAGATTTCCAAGAAGTGCTGTAGCCATAAATAGAACAGTAATACAACAAACGTTCAAAGTATTTGATGAAAAACATGAAGCAATAACAAGCAGTTCGTGTTTAAACAACTAACTCTTACAAATTTTATGTACTCTGCAGGAATTGGAAGTTAAAAAAATGCAAACAATGAAAGTTGATTAAAGGAATCCTGCAAATGTGGAATAAGCAAATGTGAAATACCGCAAGATGATAATAAGAATACTCCAAGTCACACTATAATTCTCATGACTCCCCTGGTGCGCAACCCTGATTTGCCGAACTTTGAAAATTCAAAGGCGGGAAATTTTAAAAACAAAATTTAATTTGCAGCAAATTATCAATGTTCAGTTTTTATAAATATTATGCCTATTTTAATTCAATTTTAACTGTTATCATGTTATCTTGGATAAAGTTTAAAAAAAATTTTATTTAAGATAACACGATAGCAGTTATAACTTTATAACCGTTATAAAATTGTATATTGTATAGCATGTATAACTATTAAATATCTTTATCGACGATAAGGCTATATAAATTATATAGGCTATATATAGGCTTTATATAGGCTTTATCGACGATAAAGCTATATAAATATATTATATTATAATATATTGAAATTTATATCTCTCTATAATTTTTTATAAGCACTCTTACATATAAAATTTGTGCGTGTAAAGAAATATAAATTGTTAATATAAACTTTTTATTCTAACTGTTATAAATTTGTAGATTTTACACTAAAATGTTTAGTGTAAAATTTAAAAAGTGTATAGTTTTTAGTACAAACAATAAATTTTTCAACAAATTTTATAAACAAAACTATTACACGTCTATCATGAAACAAAAAAAATTTTGTGCCATTTTTTAGGCTAAAAAATGTATAGGAATGTAGTCTCATAAAATTAAAAATTTTTTTTTTTTGTTTTTTAGTGTAAAGTTAATATATCCTAATAAAAACTTAAAGTTATTCTCACTATTTTTTTTCAATTTAGGGAATTATAAAATGGATATTTCTCAAGTTGGAATGATAAATAATTTAAGTTTAGATGTGAGGCCTAAGCGAAAAATTCAATACAAGAAGTGCAAGGTTTAAGAATTTAAAAAATTTATATTTGATATTATCAAAATTTATTTTTAATAAGAAATTCTGATTATTTGTAGCAATTAAGAATTTTTAGTGTATTTTGGCTAATGTGGTATAAGTATTATAATGACATGTGACTATAATACTTATACCACTTAAGTATTATAAATACAATGAAAATACATAACCCACTCTATACTAGCCCATTAATTGAGTGTGGCTATCACACAAGGTATGCATTAAAGTTTCTTGTTAAGTATGCTAGTGAGTGAATTATGCTTGTTATTATTGTTGAGAATAATTGAATTCATCTATTTTGTTTAATCTAACTTTTGAGAACATCTTTATTTTACTCTTTGTTTGATTTAATTGTTAATGTTGTTTTTTGTTGTTGTTGTTGTTATTGATATTATTACTATTATTAATACTGTTAATAATATTAGTAATAATAATAAAAATAATAAGCTATATTTTTTACATATACAAAATATATTAAACCTATAAATGCATTTGTTGGTCAAACAATATATTTACAATGTGTTTTCGGACTTTGCTAATAGGAGAGAAGGTCTTATAGGTTTAGATAAACCTAGCCTCTGGTATCTCTCAAGTAATAGCCCTAGTCTTACTGCGTTTATCTTATGCACAACAGAACCTTTCTTTTATAATGGTTAATAAGTCAACAGTAGAGCGAAAGAATGAAATCTGTATTGATTGCCAGAGAGATAGTCGTTAAGCTCAAAATAAGATAAAGTGTAATTGACCAAGTGTTTTTCCTTAGGATCAACGGGAGATGTGTTTTTAGTGTATATAATTGGCATTTGCATTGAATTCGTTAGGCTACTATTAGTCTAAAAGTTAAAGGTTGCAGATCTAGTATTATTAGTGGTAAAAGTGGTTGCTAGAAGACTTAAAGTGATTTTATTATGGGTTTATAGAATTATTTTATTCAGTAATTATTTAGTTTACTGATTTCAATGAAGATAACATTATGAAAAGGCTTATGCAGGATATCTTTTTTCATTAGGTTGTTATAGTTTTTTAGATGGATAATTTGTGTATTGAGCTAAAGTATCTTTATGGGTTATACCCATAAACATACTTTAGTTAAGCACACAATTTTGAATAAACCTGGTTTATGACAATTTCTCAGTACAGTATCTCAATCTGATCTATTTTCTAGGGGGTAACTTTGACAAGATTTTAAATGAAGTTTTATTCTTTGAATTTAAACTATATGCTTTATAAACTTGAAGAGTTTTGGATATACTTGATTTAAATAGTTTCAGATTAAAACTTGCTTTTAATTAGTATGACCTTAAGTTTTCTGCTTTAATGAATCTACTCTTCTAGTGAATCTACTGTTCTAGTAATAGATAGTAGTAGTAATAGTAATAGTAATAGATAAAACCAGAATAAATATATTATTCATTTTATTTAGTTTAATGTTTGTTGTATAATTATTTAAAATAGTTTGTTATTTTTTTATTGTTCAAATTGATTTTAGAATGTTTTCCATTTTTAGAAATTTATTTATAAAGTTATTTAATCGAAACGCCATAGTTTTGCAGAGAGTTGAGAGTTATATAATTTACTTACTATTTATTTAAAAAAAATATGTTTTTTATCAATAAAATTGTAAAAATTTCTTTAGGGGCGGTTCACTCTAAAATCATCAGGTGTTTTAAACAAAAGTATTATCAAGGGAATGAATAGTTCTAAAAGTTTCAACGAAAGCAAAGGTAGTATACCTTTTTTAAAAAAATTTTTTTTTCATATATTTTTGAAATTTATTATAAGTTTTACAACTTATTATACTTATATTGTTAATTAAAATCAAAGATCTTATTAAAAATGCTTTTTATTTTTAGCAAACAGAAGTCAATTGGTACCTGTGAAAGATATTAATTCCTTTTTAAAAAGAAATAAAGAGCTGGCACTTGCTTTAGGTAATATTATGTGTGCGTAGAGATGTGATGCGTTTTTTTGGTCCTTTTTTTGGTATGCTTAAAGGTTAACGCGGTTAAAGCAGTCATGTATAAAAACTTCTTTGATAATTTTATCTTCCTCAATTGATAATTTTATCTTCCTCAATTTTATCTTTATTGGTTTTAGTGTATATTGACACAATAAACATTGTTTATTTACATTTATTATATTTAATAAAATTTAACAACTAATGAATGTCTCATTCATTAGTTGTTAAATTTTATTAAATATAATTAGCTGAATGACGAGTTAAGCGAGAATGAGTTTTTGTTTATGGAACTAGAGATAACTCTTTTGAGCAGCAACCATGATAGAATTTGCAGAAAAGAGAAAGAGATGCATCTTTATGACAATCGGAAAGAGTCAAGCTTAGCAGATAGAGCTTATTTAGAAGAAAAAGGGCATTATAAGAAAAACCAGCCCAAATATGACAACATCATTCCATACAAGGACAAAAAGATATTTGTAGAGGTAGAGAATGGAATCAAGGGTAAGAAAATGACGATAATGATAAAGGAATGATGTTGATTCCTTTATCATTATCGATTGTATATTTTGTTTATATGAAAAGGTCAGTAGTAAACGATAATCCAAGAAGATGTAAAAAATGTTAATAAAGCAGTTAGAAAGAAATGGTTTGATAATCCCAGATACACAATTTGAAATTTAAGTCTACTTTAAGTTTTAATTGTCCAATATTTAGTCCATATTTAAGCTCACTTTCTATTCGACAGGTTCCATATATATATATATATATATATATATATATATATATATATATATATATATATATATATATATATATATATATATATATATATATATATATATATATATATATATATATATAAATATATGTATATATATATATATATATACATATATATATATATATATATATATATATATATATATATATATATATATATATATATATATATATATATATATACATACATATATATATATATATATATATATATATATATATATATATGTATATATATATATATATATATATATATATATATATATATACATATATATATATATATATACATATATATATATATATATATACATATATATATATATATATATATATATATATATATATATATATATATATATATATATATATATATATATATATATATATATGTATGTATATATATATATATATATATATATATATATATATATATATATATATATATATATATATATATATATATATATATGTATATATATATATATATACATATATTTATATATATATATATATATATATATATATATATATATATATATATATATATATATATATATATATATATATATATATATATATATATATATATATATACATACATATATATATATATATATATATATATATATATATATATATGTATATATATATATATGTATATATATATATATATATATATATACTTTTTTTGCTCTTCTTGTTGGTAACCAACAAGAAGAACAAAAAGAATTATGATTAAGCTCTCCATATAAGAAGCAGAAATAAAATCTTAGTCACCCATTTATTTAAGCCTCTGAATAAAAATAGTAAAATGGAAAAAGATAAACGATTATTTTGCCATAAAATTATGTTTAAAAATTGAACTTAAAAAACAGCATACTAAAGAATTTTGCAAGTGATATAATGCTATATGAAAATATCTAGATAAATAAATCATGTAGTTAGAAAAAAAAAATGCTGATAAAAAATGAATTACAAATAAATAAATTACGAATCATTAAGTGAATGGGGTCTGGGAAACTCGGTAAATAATAATAATTAGAAAATTTTCTAATTTTCTGTGAAATTAAGTTCAGTAAAAAAATTTCCTCTGGTCCTTCTGCAACCATACAACCCCGTATCACTACATTACCTCCACTAAATTTAACAGTAGGCCCTAGACAAGCTGGTAAAAATGCTTCTCCAGGTCTTCTTCACATATACGTTATGCTAGGAGTTCCAAAAATCTGTAAACAAAATAACAAGCCTGTAAAAAAATAATCAAGTCTAGTAAGTAAAAACTAATTATGTTATAATGCGGTAGTGGTGTAGTGGTAGAGCGCTCGCTTCATAAACGAGTGGTTCCGAGTTCGATCCCCACCACGTCCCTGGTAGTACCGCGCTCAACTCGTTTCTCCGCGCAGCGGCCTTGTTCGTCAGGGTTCGTGTTTCAGAGTTAAAGAGTTGAGAGAGGGTTATAGCCACAAATAAGTAGCCTCCTCGTCTGTAGTGGCCTTCTCGGCCTTGAGGAGGTGAATTAAAATAAAAAAAAAAAAAAAATTTAGAAATAATGAATAACTAAAGATCTATATAACTAAATTTATATAAAAATAAAAGTGTTAAGACTTAATGTTTTTTCATCATCAAGACTTGATGTTGTTTCAACATCAAGTCTTAACGCTTATTTATTTTTTATATAAATTTAGTTATATAGATCTATTTATTCATTATTTCTAAATGACATAATTAGTTTTTACTTACTTCAAAGTTCACCATATCAGATTAATTTATTACATTCTGGAGATGTCCAATCTTTGTGACGTATCACATTCTAGTCTTTTTTTCTGATTTTTTTTTGAGATCCAAATTTTTTTTTTGCCTTGCAGCCTTTCAATCTACATTCTGTCAATCTTCTTCTAACAGTTCATGCAGAAATAATGGCTCCTGTTGCCTCTGCAAGGTCATGTGATAGCGACAAAGACAATTTATAAAAATTTTGTCTAGCTGTAGTTTTTTTTTCTTCCAGTTTGACATCTACTTTAAAAACTTCTGAAAGTTTCGTACTGTTTTAAAGTTAGTTGCAATTCACCACGGGAACATTTCAATATTTTTGTAATGTTCCCAATGTTCCACTTTCTCCTTGCAAATACAAAAGAACAATCTGTCCTTGATATCAAAATTTTGATAAGAGCCCTAGCTTATGATCTGCCCTGACCCCAAATTAGTATTTAAAATTTTTTACAAAATTTTTTTTGAACATCAGAAAGGTCCCCACAAAGGGCAAAAGGTTCGATATTTACCCTTTTTTTAGGAAAACTTTGCCCTGCTTGTGGGACCCTTAAATCTCATCCAATTTAAAAATTGAACTATCTAATAACATGGTAATGAGTTCTTCTACTTAAGTTTTAGGGGCTCTTTTTTTTAATTCAACAACAACAACAACAAAAAGCAATATATTTACCAAGAATATAGATGTTTTACAATAAGCATGTTATAAAATACAAATAAAAAAAAATTTATGTATAGTCTATATTCTGGATGGTTCACTCTCATATAGCCTGGCTAAATCGAGGAGAGCGACCATGAGCAAAACAAAAACGAAAGAAAAACAAAAACAAAACAAACAACAACAACAAAAAAAAAGCTAGCTAATACATTCACATAAGGTTGCTATTATTTAACATTCATATTTATATCATATCTCTTATAACTTCTATTGTCATAAATCTTTTATCACCAACAATTCAATTGTTGTTTTAATTTATCTTGATGTATCAGGTAGTATTTTAATTTAGTTTTGAGAGTTTATTTTTTAATATTGCAAAAAGGGATTGTTTTTAATTTATTTTAAAGTTGATTCCAGTTCATTAATGCAGAGTATTTAAAGGATTGTTTACCATAGGATTTTGTATTATATGTTTGCACACTCAGTGCACCGCTACAAGAATTTCTTGTAAATCGACTGCTAATTGCACTGCATGGAGTAAACCATTCATCAAATATAGGAGGCAGTTTTTTATTAAGGCAGCTGTGAATAAATAAACAATTTTCAATTTTGATTAAATCATGTACTTTTATGATATGTGTTAAAAGATGTGGATGTATGTGAATTTTTTGGAAGAAATTCAATAATTCTGACTGCTTTTTTCTGCATGATAAATAGGCAATTAATAATACTCATATTTTGACTCCATGATAAAAGGCAATATGTGAGGTGAGAGTGAAATAAAGCATAGTAAATAGATTTTAAAGTTTTTTGTTGAATGAAATGTCTTAGCTTTGATAGAATGGCAAAGGATCTATTTAACTTATTAGAGATATTGTTATAATGATAAGCCCAGTTTAAGTTTTTGTCTAGCTTTATACCCAAGTAGTTAACAAATTTTTTACAACAAAGTTTTTTCCCATTTAATTTAACTTTGATCTGCTGGTCTAATTTTTTGTGGGGACTTTTAAATAATATTAAATCAGTTTTTTTGGAGTTGAGTGAAATTTTGTTTGCATTAAACTAATGGCATAGTTTCTTAAGGTCATAGTTAACATATTTGTTGATTTTTTTTACAGATTTATTAAAGTAGAGAAGGTTTGTGTCATTTGCAAAGTGTTGGACTCGACAAAATTTTAATGCTTTAGGCATGTCATTTATATAAATAAGAAACAGCAAAGGGCCAAGGACAGATCCCTGAGGAACACCTACTTTGATATCATTTAAGTTTGAGTTCACTCCACCAATAGATACTAATTGAGTTCTATTAGTAAGAAAAGATTTAAACATGGAGTTTGAAACTCCTCTAATACCATAGTAGGATAGTTTATAGAGTAGAATGTCAACATCTACAGTGTCAAATGCCTTTTGAAGATCAATAAAAATACCACATCCAAACATACCTTCATCTAATTTTTAAAGAGATTTTTTAATTTTTTCTGTTAGACTTAGTAAAGCAAGTGATGTAGAGTAGTTTGTTCGAAAACCAAATTGTAGATCACAAAAAAAACTTAAACTTTAGATCACAAAAAAGGTTAAACTTTAGCCTTTCAAGAATTTTATCAATGTTGGAGAGGAGGGAAATTGGCCTATAGTTTGACATTATTAGTTTTGAATCATTTTCAAAAATAGGTATAACTTTGGCAGTTTTTAAGTTTTCTGGGAAAATACCGCTTGAGAATGAGGTATTAAAAATGTTAGAAAGAATTCTTGAAAATTCAGTT